TTTATTTAAAGAAAATAAAATAAAATAAAAGTGAAAATAAAAAAATAAAGAAAAGTAAAACAAAAATAAAAATAAGATAAAGATAAAAAATATTAAATAAATCTAATCTAATAAATAAAAAATAAATAAAACAAATAAACAAATAAAAAAAACTCCAAAAAAAAAAAAAACCTGAAGCAGCTCGACTATCGGCTCGACTCGGCTCAAGGAAGAGAAAGGGCTCGGGGGGGCGGCTTGGGAAGCTCGGCTTGGCTCGAAGGGGGGTAGGCACGCACGGGTCAGGAAGTAGGTCGACGCTTGGGTCGGGTCGGGTCTCGGCATAACGCGCGGATCCTCTGGGTCACTTAAGGCCAAAACGACGTCGTTTTGGGAGGGTATATAAGGTCTTTCCCTCTATTTTTTGGCAGAAAGCTCCTCCTCTCTCTCTCTCTTCTTTCTTTTTTCTCTCCTTTCTCTCTAAAAGGCTAAAGAACTCCGATGAAATTTTTGTCGGATTCTGGAAAATATCACCGGAATCTGGAAAATTTCACCGGAATCTGGAAAATTTCACCGAAAGTTCATCGAAAGTTAGTCGAAAGATCATCGATTTCTGGGATTCTTTACCGAAAACTGGACAGGTTGTCAGAAACTTCAAGGTTAGCCAGAATTTACGCCGAAAAATTCAAACTTCGTCAAAAAATTCAATCGAAATCTGGAATTTTCCAAAAATTCCCAGAAAAAAAATCGCCAAAAATCTTCAAAAAATTTCTGCTAGCTCTCAGAACACTCCTAAACCTTTTCTTAACTTCCTATACGCCCCCTTTTCTCTCAAATCAGTAGCTTTGCTCACTATTTTGTGTGTCCATCATCTGTTCTAGGAGGTCCCTTTTATAGGGATTAATCAGGAGTTCCTGATCAATCCCAATTCCTCCTTGAACGGGGATTCAATCTTTGAGCCCAATTTGGACTCTTCTGATTGAATTTCCATTCACAATTGGATTCTTCAACTTTCAATCACAGCCATCTAAAACAAAAAATAATAATAATAATAATAATAATAATACAATAATCAGATAAACAAAAATCATATAACCAGAACAAGAAAAGTGAAGAAAAAAATTATTAACAGATAATTAGAAATACAATAAGATAAATCCAAAAAAAAATATTACAAGAAAAAAAGAATAATAAATAAATTATAATATAATAATAAATATATAACTATATAAATAAAATACATATAAAAATTAACAAAAAAAATAAATAAATAAAAATATACATATATTAATACATAATAATAATAATAAATAATAAAATACATAAAATACAAAAGAAAAAAAAAATAATACAAGATAAAAATTGAATTGGGCTTACCCATTTGGGCCAGGCCCAATTGATCTGGGCCTGGACCCAATTGGGTGTCTACATTGTGTATTGTATTGTTATGGTAACTCTTGGTGTTTATATGGAATTGTTGTGTTTTTTGTTGTAGTGTAGCAGTTAAGCCTAAAAAGTCGTAACTACTTCTAGAGTGCCAAGCACCGGGTATGCTTACTTCTAGCATGAAGGGAAGTGTTGGCACATAAGGTGTTAGAAGGATACAAGATAATGAAGGTAGTGAATAGGTGTTAGGTGTAGGAGTGCCTCTTTTTTCTTTGGGCCAAGTGTTGGGGTTGTTACTGAGGGTAATTGCATTATACTTTGTTTAATCTAATTATGGTTAACTAATTATAATATTTTTATGCGTTTTGCATAAATGGATCATGCTACCAAGCTTTAAAAGATATTGCAGTAAGAAAAGTAGACGAATAAGAGATCTCTGTAGGGTAATCCTTCTTTTACAAAAAAACAAGCAATGGAGAACTCCAGCATGCCCAGCAATGTAGTGCCTACTAACAGGGCTCAACTTGTAGCAATCACACAAGCTTTTGTGGTGCCCTTAGTCACAATATCAACTGCACCTGCTTTTGCTTTTGCCATGCCAACTTTAACACCAATTGTGCCTCTTGTAACAACTCTTACTATCAACATCATCCTTACCCCTATTGCATCCCTTTCACCAGCTATTGCCACTCTTTTTATGGTGGTCAGTGTTGCTACCCTTCAGAAGTACCGCAAGTGTAAAAGTTGCAAAAGTAATAAAGATTAAAAGTATTTCAGATATCATCTCCACTAGGATTTGAGATTTCTAGAACTAAGGGATAAGTATCAATTTTGACAATTTAAGTATATTTGGTCTTACAAAAAAATTAGGAAGTGATCTAATTAACCTAATTAAATCTAGCAAAAATTACCAAATAAATTAAATTTAAATTAACTACAAATTTTGGAAATTAATCCTTTTACTATAATTCATAAAAATGTAGTCCTCACATTATTTTAATTTGATAATCTTAACCCAATCATTAACCTTATCAAATTTTTACAATTAAAAATACTGATGTGACCGTTGACTTGATAACGTAGGCGTTAATTTTGCTAATGTGGCATTGACTTTGCTAACTTGGTAATATAATGAATGAAATCAGTTATCAAATAATGCAAATGGTCCATGCACCCAAACGAAATTTGAATTTTACTCATTCTAGTATAATTCATAAAAATCTCATTCTTCTAGAAGTTGAATTTAATAATGTTACTTTAATTACTAATACGATCAATTACTTTTTATTAACTATGCTCACATGACCATTGTCTTTTTAGAAAAACATTTGGAAATTAAAAAAACTCCTTAAAATTTTTTTACAAAATCTAAAAAATTAAAATATCTAAAAAAAATATAGGTTTTTTTTTGAAAATTTTGACAATAGTAAATTTATTTTTTTCAAATATTTTAATTTTTTTAAAAAATAATCTTCCTTGAATTTTTTTAACAATCAGATTTCAATTTTAAAATTTTTTTTTCTAATTTCAAAAATATTAATTTTTATTTTTTAATAATGATACATTTTTTAAAATAATATTTTTTTTAAATCAGATTTCATTTTCAAAAAAATATTTTTCTATTTTTAGAATTTTTAAATATTTACCAATATATTTTTAAACATTAAATTTAATTTTTCAATATTTTAATTTTTTAATAACCTTTTTAAACAACAAATTAAATATTTTATTAAATAAAACAGATTAATTTTAAAAAATATAAAAATTTCGAAACAATGAACTTTTTAAAAGATTAAAACAGAAAAAAAATTAAATTTAATATTTTCAACCAATCTAAAATTTTTGAAATATTGAAATTTTAAAAAATAAAATTTGATATGATTAAAAAATTAAAAAAAATATGATTTTTTAAATTAAAGTACTGGGGAAAAATTAAATTTAATATTTTAAAAAAATTTAAATTCTATAAATTGAAAATTATTTCTTTAAAATTTGAAATTTAATTTTTTAGAAAATAAAGAATTTTTTTTTTAAAATTAAAATATTGGAAAAAATTAAATTTAATATTTTTTAAAAAATAAGAAAAATTCTAAATAATTCATAAATTTGATTTTTTAAAAATTAAATCCTTATTGCTAAAAAATTTTGATAAAAATCATTTTTTTTAAAAAGTTAAAATATTGGGAAAAAATAGATTTAATGTTTTAAAAAAAATCCAAGAAAGCCTAATAAATCATAGTTTTTTTCAAATTTTTCATGATTTTTTATTTTTTAGATATTTTGTTTTGAACTTTTTAGGACTTTTTAATTTTCAATTATTTTTCTAAAAAGACAACGGTTATGTCTGTAAAGTTAACAGAGAAAAATTGATAGTTTCAGTAATTAGATTAATATTATCAAATTCAATTTGCACGAGAATGATATTTTTATAAATTAAATTAAAAGGGTCTAAACTTCAAATTTTATGTGAATATAAAGATTATTTGCACAATTTAACAATTGATTTTATTTATTTATTTTATCATGTCAGCAAAGTTAACTTCATATCAACAAAATCAATACCACATCAGCAAAATCAACGCTTATATTATTAAGTATGCAATCATATCAATATTTTTAATGCCAAAAATTTGATATGATTAATGATTGGATTAAAATCATCAAATAAAAAATATTATCAAAACATATTTCTATGAATTATAGTAGATGTACTAAATCTATAATTTCGTTAGAGTACAACACCATTATTATAATTTGACAATCAAAATATTTTTGTTATGCAGGAGACAACAATGGAAAATAAGTGTTTCACTCTCATCACCATATTCATTAATTTGGAATGGTACTATCACTATTACATGTAAATACCAACATATATTGAAGGTCCATTGATGGACAGTAAAATTGACTCCAATAAAATTGAAAATAATGATAGATAAAATTAATTACTGTAATGATGAGATTAAAATTAACGGTGAAATATATATTTAGATGAAAATACAGTAGTGACAATAAGATGAATTATAGTAAAAAAAATTACCATTAAAGATTACATTAAACTTTGTGTATAATAAAAATTTTAAATTGTTATTTATGAAATTAATAAATAATTAAAAATTATTTAAATATAAATATAATTATAATTATAAAAAATTCTTATAAAATTATAAATATTATTAAACAAAATAATATAAATCAATTTAAATATAAATATAAAATAAAAAAATTAAAAAAAATTTAGAAAAAAAATAATAAAAAAGGGTATCATAGGTAAAAAGTTCAGTCCTCCAACGAGCAACTGAACTTTTTTTGCTCCGGTCTAAAATTATTGCTTCGGTGAAGTGTTTCATTGCACTAATTACTATCCAAAACACGTAATCGCACCAAAAAAAAAAAACCTAACCGCACAATGCTGATGGAAAAGTTAAATCCAAATGGGGCCTACCTCTTATAATTTATTCATTGTAATTACTTTTATTGTTAGTCACTCAAACATTATTGACTCTTAGTGTGACACTGTAATTTTTTTTTACAAGTATGAGTTGGCAGATTTTATTTAAAGTTTAAAAGAAAAGAAAAACGGAAGAAAAGCCCCCAAGCAGCTCGTGGTGATTATAGAAATCAAAATCATTGCACACCTCAGTTTTACACTCCAAAGAAGGGCTATCATCGCGCCCCCTACAATTTTGACCAAAAGGCATGACATGAACCATAAAACAGACTTAGAAGCAGGCCATTTTCCCAAAATGGACCCAAATCCAACGACAACCCAAGAAACCGTTACTTATGTCCCGCCGAAAACATCAAAATAAGAAAGCCATTAACAGCAAGACCCCAAAACTAAACTGACGAATCAATTGTCCTGATAATATGTAGTTTTAGTAGCGCTTTGTTTATTTTGGGGCAGTACTTGAAAGAAGTAACCCGATGACGAGCCCAAATCAAATCCGTCAGCTACCGTATCAGGAACAGATGGCATCCTCCTCAAGAGTGGGCTGTGCTGCACGAACTCGTAAGAGTTAAGGCCGAAATACGGTTCACTGACTCCTGAGCCAAACCCATTTGCAGTTTGATCCGGGATCCCAAAAAGGCCTGTGTCATTCCAAGCTCCATAACCCATGTCTGAACCATCAACTCCAGAGCCGTAACATAGAGAGGAGACATCAGGAGGCAAAGGTGGCAGCTCAGAGTCATCGTTGAACTGTTTAGAACCATCATTTGCTGCATCCATGAAACCAGTAATGGGCCTGTAAGACCCAACTGTATCACTCTCTTGCTTCCACCCGTCTCCAGCTGGTAACCCGGAAGAAAACTGGCATGCATTGAAAGGGCCTTGAGTGAAGTAAAGCTGGTTCTGGTTAGCGTCGTTTTGTTGGTGGAAAGGGGGATTAATGGAAAAAATGGATGACATCTCATGCTGTGATTCGTCAGGGGAGATGATGGCTGTGACTGATGAGCCAGCTGGCATATCAGAATAGACAAAGTTAGTTCGAGCCTTGGACCCACGCATGGAGCGAGCGGCACGGTCATAGGCTAAGGCTGCTTCCTCCGCAGTGTCAAACGTGCCAAGCCAATGCCTTTCTTTTGTGGAAGGGTCTCTTATCTCTGCTGCGTATCTACCCCATGGCCTCCTCCTTACTCCCAAGAATTTTGTTTCTTGTTGCTGTTGTTGGTGCTGAGGTTGCTGCTGCTTTCTTTTGTTTTTAGAAGAGGAAGGCGAGCTGGTCTTTGAGTTGTTCAAATCCATGAAGATAAAGAAAGCTTTGGAGTTGATAGGCTTCAGCTAAATGCGACGAAGAAAAAACTTTTGTGTTTCTGCCTTTCTTTTAGTGTCCGTCTCTCTGGGCTTTAAAGGGCAGTTTTTTCCTTCTTTTTTTTTTCCTGCCTTAGACAGACAGAAAGAGAGTAAAAAGGGAGAAGTCTTGGTCTTCTCTAAATGGCATAGAGCAATATTAGATTGATGGTTTTAAGAAAAGAATGATAGTTGGCCTTGTTACTCGGCCGCTTGCATGTTGGTTGTTTAAATAAGGAGATTGCACCATCAGATTCTCCCCATTTTACCAGAGTTGCCCTTGGAGAAATTTTCAAATGCATTCATGGTTTTCTAATCCAAATTATGAGTGAGTAATGCTTGCTAATGATCCTAGCGTGGGCCCTTGATTCTGATTGGACCCTCATAAGCTCGCATGATCACCTTTGCCCTTCATCATGAATCACTCAATTAATACAAGCACTTTTGTTATGTGATGATACCATGATGTTTGAGTAAGAAAAGTAGAGCAGCAAAATTATATGCGTTAACTGCACCATAAAACCCTTTCTTCTTGGCAAAACTTATATAAAATTTTTTCGATAAAATTTATGAATTTTTTAAAATAATTTTATAAAAAATTTAACTTGATAGATTAATAAGATTTAATATGAATATCAATAATAATTTTAAAAAATTTTAAATATTATTTATAATTTAAATTTGATTAATATTTATTCAATCAAATTTTTATTAAAAATATCTGTATAAAAATATATGTCAAAATTTATTAATTTTTTTTCAAAATTTACATAGGTTAATTATATAACAAAATTTTTTAGTCTATTAATTTTGATTTAATTATTTTTAATAAAAAATTTATGAACTTCACCCAAAAAATTTCATCTAAATTTATCTCTTCTTCGAATGCCAAATTTCCAAGGAACAGTCACCTCTTTTTAAAACAAAAATATTTAGTCCATTTTACTTGTATTTCAATTTGACTAATTAAGATCAGAGTTAAAACCCAATTTCAATAATTAGATGAAGCATAACTAGGAATTGACCTGCGCGTGGCATGATTTTGGCGAAGATTACCATGATTGACCTGTATTCACGGGCTTTGAGATTATTCAGGTGATTTGATTAGTACAGCTCATCATTCATCTACCTGGAGTTCATTTATATCCCTTGGGCCATTAGATTAAACTTTCTGATGATTTCTTCCCCGCAGTCCTGCCCATTGAGTAGGTGCAATCATGGGCTCATCAGCAGCTTAATACATACCCATGATTGACATGTGCTCCTTGAATGAACTTTCTGTCACTTTTCTTTTCCAATGATCGCAAGTTCTTTCTCACGATTTCTAATGAGTTTGAGACTATAATATCTTCTCCAAAGATTCTGACATGCGAGCTTGCAGGAGAGAAAGAGAGAGAGTCTCAGTTGAATCAGGAACTAATCATGGAATGTACTAATAAAACTAATCACTAGTATTTATGATCATGCATGACTCTGAATATAACTTTATCATCACATGATTGCCTAATGCATGATCACAATCCAATTATCGTTCCCATGATCATTCAATTGTCAACACCCATCATTCTGTACCTTTTTACCGACCTTTAATCTTTCAGGCTTACAATGCAAGTCTAAAAGCTCTTTCTTTCTTACACAAACAACCCAATCTATACAAACATATTTGTATAATACGTATTATATCTCTCCTACATAGAAAAGGTCATGTTGCCCTAGCTAAATGGAGCCTTTATACGTGGAAAAAAAATTTTTTTTCTGCAAAAAAAGTACGGAATATCATAATCCTAGCCATGTGCATCCAATTTAAGCCAAATATAATGATAAGCTCCACAATCTTTCCAAGCTGTTGACGCTAAAATGTGTGCTTTTTTCAATCCCATGGGAATGCCTTTTCCTATTTTTATAGCATTTGTGAGTTTTGAAGCATCCTTGTTGCTTATTACTACATTAGTATGTATGAACGCATTCAAATAAAATGATGGGTGGGTTGCATGTGAGAAGGACACATAGGCATGCCTTTTTGAACAAAACAATTTACTAGGAAGACCTACTTACTAGTAATTAAAATCACAAAACGATTACATTAACATGTAGGCAGCATGCTTAGACCCAAAGGGACCCACATAAATATAAATACTAATACTAGTATTTTGCTTAATATAATTTCATAACATTTTGCTCTTTATTTAAAAATGAAAAGGATATTACATAAAACTGAACTTTAAATAAAAAAATTGAGGCATTGTATATTTTTTAAAAAGAAGGTCATAGTAGAGGATAAAAACGAGACCGATAAAATTTGAATTTTATATTTATTAAATGTTATTGTTATTATATAAATTAATTAAATTAAATTTTGAATTTAATATTATATTATTTAACTGCTTACGCAATCCATATGATTAATGTAAGACAATTCTTATAGGCTACTACTTTGTATACTCATTCTAATTAAGATGAATTGCTTAAGAATTAAAGATGATGATTATGGCAAATAATTTAACCAGAGTAAAGCTCTTTTAATAATTTGTTTAGTTCCACGGTTAGTTTTGAATGTAAGACAGAATGCAGTAGTGAAGGCTAAGAAGGTTAAAGATAGAGAGACAAAGCTTGTATTTTTCGAGCACCAGGTTTTGCTAAACCATCAGCAAGGAGTTATTATCAGAAAATTAATAATTGTAAGAAAGGAGCGATCCTGGCTCAGGATACGGGGTATTTTTCTCAAAAAGTTTTCTACAAGCCCTTGATTATTAAGCAGCATCTTATTTCAAAAAGAAGTATCCCAATCCAATAGCATATTCGGTTCCATAGGATGAATTTTCAAATGGGGAAAACTGGGTATCCCAAGTTAGAGATACGACTTTCAGACCCTCTTTATCCTTGCAGTACGTGGCAACTCCCGACCAAAGTTGCACTCGTTAGGTAAAAAATTTGCATACTTTTGAGGAGAGACATAACATTTTATTTTTATCAATATGGATACCAAATTTGATGGAAAGATCCGTTGGGAATTGAATTATGAGCATGCAAGCATTATATTCTCATCATCTAATTATTGCCACTTTGTCTACTTGGCTGCCATTTTAACCTGTTATGTTATGGAAGGATTGTAAATTTCGATTAAAGTTGTTTTTTTTTAACATCGGGAGTTCATATAGATGCGAGAAGTTAAACATTTTCATATTTTACGTTTCATGAACATGTTTCAAGAAAGATTGCCGAGTAAACAGATTTAAAATTAAAGGGAAAAAACTCGGTATTGCGTATTGTGTGGGAAAAATCTGATAAAAGTAAAAATGGGATTTAACATTTCTTTGTTTTGCATATTGTATTCTGTTCCTAACTACTTGAAAAAGAAAAAAAAAAACTTTGGGACGGTAGGAGCAACTTTTTCACTCGGAATGTCTAACTTGGAGTAGTAGTACGTACGTAGTAATAAAGAAAAAGAGTGAAACGCCAAATATAGCACTTGTCCCCCGGTGATACCAAACCTAGCTAGGTTTGTTAGATTATTTATTGTAGAATAAAGAAATGGGTAGAAGATTGCTTTATCAGTCAATTTGACTACTATTCAAAGATGGGGACTAGAAATGAGTAAATTTTATTGAGTTGCGAGAATGATCTTCTTTGAAACCAAGTTGAGAGTCAAAAGTCGCTTGTTAAAAGAATGATCAATTCTAAATTTCAGTGACAATTTCAATTTTTGCTATTCTAAATTAAAAAAAAAACAATATATTTTTTTTAAAAAATTAAAAGAATAATTTACTATTTTATTTATAATCAATTAATTTTAAATTAGATACTTAACTTGATATAGAATTACAATTTTAAAATAAAACTTCATAAACTTCATATAAGTAGCTTTATCTAAGTTTTTCTATTTAACAAAATAGAAAATGCTACAATTTTGAGATAATCGCTCTTACGAGAATCAGCAAACTGATAAGTCTTTCTTCAAAAGCTAATGATTTAGTCGATTTCAAAGGGGTTTTAATTTTTTAAATTAAATTAATTGTTTTTGTTATAAAAATTTTGGATGTTTAGAAACTAAAATCATAAATATAGGTCCCTAGACAGGTTTTAAATTTTAACTATTTATAATTTGGAAAAAAAATTATGAACTTTTTTTTTTTTTTTTGAGAAATTTTATATGCAATCACAAATTTGCGACAGCCAAAAATTTATAATTTTTTATTACAAAATTATCATTGTATTGAATTACTTTAATATCCTTAATAAAATTACTTTTTAATGATCTTCACCTTCCAGCCACATGCAATTAGTAACCTTTTCTCATAATCAGACACCATCTAAACCAAACTCCTACTTCCCACCTAAATCACCTAAATCAAATTATATCTTTTCTTTTAGACTTTGCTTGATAGGAAAAATGAAATATTTATTAATTTGATGGTTAAAATTTATAATAATTTTCATATTTTATAACTTAATCATTAGATTAAAAATTTCTATCCTTTTAACCAATTAAAATCTTGATGTTAGAAGACACTTAAAATAGAGCTGATAAAAAGAGAGAAAAACTGAGATTTAAAAAAAAAAAAAACCTAAAATGCATGTTCGGATAAATTTATTCTGAATGGAACTCCATTGCGAACTTATATATTCGTTCCCATGGCACAATCGTGTGATTCAATTAGATTTTTTTATTTTATTCAAACGGAAATACAATGTGTAAAAGACAAATTGAAAGAATAAAAAAAAAAAACTTCAAATAGTTTCGTATGTTGCTAGTCGTTGGGAAATCCTTGATGCCATCAGTTGTAGGGAGTTTTAGTGTATACTTTTGACTACGAGGGTGTTACGTGCCATTTTATTGGATTTGATTTTATGATGGCCTTGTTGACTCTTGAATTGTGTTTATTTTATTTTATTAATTACATAGTCGAGGCCTTTTCCTTTATGCTTGACTATTATTTTGTTGAAAGAGAGAGTGAGTGTGTTGTGTAGTGGGGGAGTGGGGAATTTGCAGCTGGCATTGTTGTGAGACCAGCTTAATAAAGGGAAGCACAAGTATTGCAAAGCATGCTGTTAAGAAATACAATTTTCAACTATTTCTCTAAAAAATTTCTTCCTTTCCTTTTCTAATCTTTCATCTATTCTCTATTATTCTTCTTATTTTCTAGAAATCTCAGCTAACTTCGTAAAGGCTCGTAACAATGGTATCAGTGCTTCTTTCCTGGCATCCATAACAACCATGGCAGATGAAATCACAACCCGTCCACAAGAAGAAGTTCAGCAGTTGGATTCAAGGCTGGACCAATGCTT